CCTGGGAAGACTGGAAGAAGTAGCAAGTGGGAGTGTGGGATGATGGTGGTCCCTTCACCTACTGCTCAGTTTATGAATATTCAAGTTATATTCTTGAAATATGAACACTATATCAGGTGTAAGTCATACTTCAATAAAAGGGGAAAAATTAAATAAAACCATTAATCTATGAAATTTTAGTTAAAAAGGTTATGAATATAGGAGCTTCTCTATGACTTTTCAGTTCAAATTGTGTCTATATGGTGCACCAAGGTCTGAGGCATGTGGTTCCCAACTCTCCCATGACTCTAGCCTTGTGATCAGGCTCATTCTTTGGTTAACTAGTTGCTTGAAACAACAAGTTTAAAATTTAATAACTTGGTCTCTAAATGAAATATGGAAAAACCCCACCAACAAAATAATTCCAAATCAATCTATCTCATTTCAAAGTGAGGCCTAAATCCAACGACAAATATTAAAAGAATACCTACAGGTGCGAGTGCTAGGATAAGTATACAGAAGAAGAAAAAGGAGCCAGACTACATACCTTTCTACTCTTTAGTTGTACAGACAGGAACATACAAATGAATAGATAACAGTTTTGCTAGATGATATGTAATTCATAGCAAACACTAAGGCAATACTAAGCTTGCTACTGATTGGGAGGTTGTGCTTTCTAGACCAACACACTAAAATTTACTTATAAATTGTATATACAAACAATAACCTTGCAGTGGCTAATGAGATTTATGTTGGATTTATCAAAAATAAGAATAGGGCCAAAACTGGTTTGGCTCAGTGGACAGAGGGTCAGCCTGTGGATTGAAAGGTCCCGGGTATGATTCCGGTCAAGGGCATGTACCTGGGTTGTGGGCACATCCCCAGTAGGGGGTGTGCAAGAGGCAACTGATTGATGATTCTATCTCATCGATGTTTCTAACTCTCTATCCCTCTCTTTTCCTCTCTGTAAAAAAATCAATAAAATATATTTTTAAAAAATAAGAATAGGTAACATTCTGGTGTATTAGTTGGCAATATTTAGCTAAGAACCTTTTTGACAAAAATAATGGCACATTGTCATTGAGAAGTATATGAAGAAAGTAGAGTTCTAGATAAAAATAAAAATATTATAATTCTGTTAACTATAAATCCATAAATACGTTGCTGTGGCCTACAAACAAGTATGAGATCAAATGCTATATCATTTACTTAAAATGATGTACATTTTTCACAGTTCAACAAGCTATTTGAAAATATTTAGGTTCCAGAACAGCAACAAAACCTTTTTAAATTAACTTTGAAAGAATAGTGAAGACTACATTTAAAAACACATGTCTTATTAGGAAGTTAAATTCAGTATTTAATAGAGATATTAAACATTACTGAATATATAAATTCAACAGTGTAAAAATTCATGTGTCTCCTCAGTTTTAAATTCTAATACAACATTAATGATCCAAAAGTGTATATATGAAAGTAATAAATAAGAACATAAGTGAACACTTTGAATATAAAAGGGACAACCAAAGGTTTTGAGCCTTCCTGGAAACAAATCAGAACTAGAATGGAAACATACAAACAAATAAACAAACAAAACATGAGGAAAGCTGCATAGGCTATATCTGCATAGAATTTTCTCAATCTGCAGAAAATCCTACCAAATAACAACAAAATCAGAGTTTCAAACAACATTATTGGGTATATACATTCATTTTAGAGTAGTATGAAACAAAGGACAGTGCCTATAACAACAGTCTAGCTGATTTCATTGACAATGAATAGCATATAGTACACATAGTATCTGTCACTAAGCCTCTTATCTTCAAACCTTCCATCTAAGATTATTAATGTTATGGGTATACAGAGAAAGACATAAAGATATATAGATATATAGAGTTATATACTATATACAATATATATAGATGCATGATATATCTATATACATATATACTATATACTACACATATATCCTATATGCAGAGGTGGGTGAAGTAGGATTACAGTGTGAGAACATGAAATAGAGTTTATTATTTATTCTATTATTTTACATACAACTATAAACCTACTTTTGCCCACTCCCAAATAGTATATTAAAGGTTTATAAAAATTGGAAGCAAAACATGATGACAACAATGATTACATCTGGACTGTGAAAACTGGGTAATTTTGATTCACTTGGTTAGAATTTTCTGTTATTCTCTAAGCTTTTAAAAAATTGCAAATTATTTGGGGACTTTTTTTCTTCAGTATATAATTTTTAGTGCCATAAAAACACATATATGTAAAAACATGCACATGGAGGATTTTTGAAATATTAATAGAGAATATTTTGGGGAGTAAAACTCAAGAGGTTATTGACTTCTTATTCTATTCTTTCCTCCTTAAGTCTGCTGAGTCTGTGCCATGGTAAAGTTAAGGTTTATTTTTAAAACTAATAGGTAGAAGCAAGGGAATACTAGCACATAAGGTTAAAGGTGACTGAGGTGTCCTGATCCTACTATTATAGTAGTGAAGCTCATCTATATAATAAAAACCCAATGGTTGTAACACTGTAATGACCAAAGACCTGTCACCAGGAGGTGCACTGAGGGTCCCACAGTGGTGCCAGTGGGCAGAACTCTGCTCTGGGTCCCATGGCACCGGCTGGCTGGACTCTGCTCTGGGTCCCGCAGCACCCGTGGGTGGGACTGTGGGGCCCATAGCTCACGCGGCAAGGCGGGGCTCACAGCTCGCCCAGTGGCTTGCTGTAGCGGGTTACACAATTTCGTGCGTGCTTTACCTCTAGTTACATTATAAAATTACTTAAAATGTTTTATTTAATACAGATAAACAGATTAGCAAATCAATGAAAAGAGTCTCCAAAAACACTCAGCTACATGAGGAATTGAATGTAATAAAGTAAGCTTTCCACCACAAATTAAAAAATGTTATCGAATAAATTTGGTTGAGATATTTAGCAGCAGTTTGGAAGAAAAACATAGAAGAAAGGGAAAGTCAAAGCATGTATGACATATTCTACCAAAGTAAATTCCAGAAAGATTAATGAGTTGAACAGAAAATTAAAACACTAAGTTATAAAAAAAAAATCCAAAACAGCAGAGAATAGACTATTTAAGAGGTTGCTAACAAATGTTTTTAGCTTTGATGTATAATAGAAAATCAAAAGGAAACATTTATCACATTAAAATATACAAATTCAAAATCTCTATACAAGTTTTAAAAAGCAGCAAACTATTGTGAAAATATTTACATCAAAATTTTGGTACATAATATGTCTAATATAGAGTTTATTCAAAATTATAAAAAAAAAATAGAAGAGACAAATGAGGGCAGTTATAAATAACAATTAGCAGAAGATAAAATTAGAAATTACCAAAATATGTGGAAAGAATCTAATTCTTATTTGTAAGCAAGCAACAAATTAAATTTGAGATACTGTTTTACAGGTACTAAACAAGCCAAAATAAAATTTAAAAAATAAGATGCTATAAAACTGTGGAGAACTTGTACACTACACTATAATTGCATTTATAATTCATTTTGCAAACAGTATGGTAGAAGGTAGCAAGAGTAATAAAAATGTTTATCCTCCCTAGTTCAGACATTCCAGCTGTAGAATTTATGTTGAACATACAATTCCTCATACACAAAAGAAATTTGCACAAAAATTTTGGTGTATTCCATTATAGTAAAAAAAAAAAAAAAAAAAAAAGGAGGGGGAATGATTGTTAAATAACTGCATAATGAATAAGGTAACATAGGTGTGTGAGAATTACTCAACAACTGGGAAAATGCTTAATATATAATAATAAGTGAATAAAAATATATACCATGTTATAAATGCTGTGTTTTTTCAATTATGTAGAAAATGCAAATGATAAAATGCAAAATATGAAAATAATTGATGTGTAGATATAGTATAAATACATTTCCTAGTTTAATAATATTTAAACCCAATTGTTTCTGATAATTGGCACACATATACGATAACCAGATATAAATATGGTTTTATGAAATAAAAATATTTTTATAAATAAGACATTTAGTGAAAAACAAATTTACAATCAAAGCATCGATTGTGTGTGTGTGTGTGTGTGTGAGAGAGAGAGAGAGAGAGAGAGAACACCTAGTCTCTATGTCTTTCACACATTTCTCTTCAGAAGTACAAATACATATAAATAATTACACATGTTCTGTTTTTCTCACAGCCACTGTGAAGACGAAAGGAAATGGCAGGCGTGATACTTATCCCAGGACATCCCTGCCTGACACATTCTAGGTGCTCAAAAAATGTTCCTCACTACAAAGTCAAATAATGCCAAGGGTTTATTAAATTGTGTTATTAGTAAATGCGATGCAAATGTTCTTCATCTTTAAAATGAAGAAACTAAGACTGAGCATTTATGAGGTCCCACCAAATATAGATTTGGTGGGACCTCATAAATGCTCAGTCTTAGTTTCCAGAGTCTTTAAACTTCTGTGGAACAAGTGGAACATGAAGAAAGGTAGAAACCACGGGTATGTACACATTGCAGAGAAGCTTTAAAATCAGTGTGTCTGTGCGTATAAAACAAACTCTGTGAAGCATGCAACAAAACAAAGCACACGCACCTGCTTCGTTCGATTTCACAGCGCACCCTCAGGAAATGTTTGTCTTAAGCTGGCATTCCCTGACCCAGGTAGTCACGCACCACTTCTATGCTAACATGTAATGCTTTTTTCCAGAGTGATGGACAATGCTTCTGACACAGGAGTGAACTGTTTGATGAGAAACATGAGCCCCCTTTTCCTCCTCAAATACTTCCATGCACAGAGGCTGCTCATTGGAGGACAGAACATGCAGTGCAGCCTATTAAACCTGCCGGTGCTCGGGGCTTGCTGGAAAGCCACCTCTAGTGTGGATGGTCAATTTGCAGTTTCTAGGTTATGTGCACCTCTCGCTTCCTCAAACCAGGACTGTCCTCCGCCCCTGAGGAGGCTGGGATCTCTGACCCCCAAAGGCTTCTGTGCCCCAGACATACCTGTTTCCTCTGGACCCTGAACGGCACGCCTCTTCCTGATGCTCCGACTGAAGTTGCTTTCTTGTGCAGCTGGTGGTGCCAAGATCTCCTAAGAGCAGGAAAAAAAAAAAAAAAAAAAAAAAACAGGTTATGGCAAAGATAATCTGAGGAAGGAGAGGCAGCACCGTGGAAAGGACTGTGCCCAGGCCTCACTCAGCTCTGCTGCTTCGAACTTACTTTCAGGGCCGAGGTGGCAGCTGGAGCTTCCTGCACAGCTGGCCTGGGGGGCGCTGCTCCCGCCCCGGGAGGGCCTGGCAGCTGCTCAGCTCGCTGCTCCAGCAGTTCCTCCCGGAGGCTCTTCAGCTCCGCTTGCAGGGCAGCCACTCTGCAGAAGGACACCACCGTGAGGCAGCAGGACACCAGGGCCAGCAGCAAGGTCAAGGCCAGCAGCGAGCCATCTCCGGAGAACCGGGCGGAGGGGCTTTCCTTCTGGGGGAGGATGGGGACATACTCCTTCAGTTTCATTTCTTCTCTTCTCTTCAGACCAGGAGAGAGGCGTGCCTGCTTCCCTTCTGTGGAGTCATTCATTTCACTCCTTGGGCTTTGAAGGTTTGGGTCTTCAGAATGAGTGACCACGGGGAACGGGTCATTTCCTGTTATCTGTGTTTGTTGATGTCCTACATTGACTACAGCGGCCAGCTTGGCGCGTGCCCTCAGGAGAATTCTCCTGAATTTTCTTCTCCCCGCACGGCTGCATCTCTGCCCCTACGTGCAATAGGTCTTCCTGGCATTCGCACTTCCAGCTGATTGCTCAACCGGCCTTCCTCATTTCACTTTCAGTTTTTCTCAGAATTTTAATGACATCTCAAAGCATTCGGACACAAACGAGTTCCATAAATCTATTGATACGATGGGACTTAGGGTTAGAGAGAACTCCTAAGTGACACGAGCCATTAAGGTAAGGAGCTCCCCCTTTGGCATGCTGAGAGAACTGGGTCTGCTGGGGCCATGTGGCTTTGCAGGGAAGGGGGAAAGGAAAGCTCAAGTTCCTGCTGGTGTAAGAAAAAGAATGAATGTGAAGGTCAAAGAAGCGAAGTGCCCTGGCACTGAACTGGACTCAGCTGGAGAGTGATTTATGAACAGTTCTCGAAGGAGAAAATAAAATGAAGAATCCTCCAGGGAGACACAGGAGTCTGCTGGGGAGCAATCTTGCAATCTTTCTGTTATTATCTTAGCAAAATAATAAGAAGAATGTGACTGAAATTTGTAGGCCTGTTTAGATTAGATCTGAGGAGGGTTCTTTACAGGAGAGGGGATGCATTTTAAAGGGAAGCCTGCATCGTCTTTGACCTCCCTGAGTTGATGCCCACCTCTGCTGTCCCCATTTATGGAGTTTCTAGTACCCCTGTTTTGAAGGAGAATTGGCCTTCCTTCCAGCTCCCAATGCCTCAATCTCACCATTCATTGCTCTTTCCCTATAGCACCTTAGGTAATACTAGTCCACATAAGGCTGCCTCTGCCCCAATCCAACAGGTTTACCAAGTGACCTATTCGAACCAGGGTCACGTTAGCTTCCCATCTCTATTGTTAGGCTTGGTGTTGTTGCAAGGACACCCATCCTGAGTTGTCTACCTGGACCTTCTCTGGTTTCTGGTTGCTTTGTCCCCAGCACCTACATATCCTGTAAGGAGCTCACACTTCAATAACGGAGTTACCATGCCCTTGCCAGGGCCTGGTGAGGCACAACTGGGTGCAAAGACTGCAACGCATTAGCTCTATTTCACCACACATATCTAGGTCATCTTCAAAAAGACAGTTTCAAAAATAATTTCAGAGCCAGGGCGTAACATGTGTGACCTCTCTGTTAAATGGCATGATAACCGTCCCTGGAAATTGTAGTGAGGTTTACCAACATGTAGAACTATATTTAATATGCTTCCATTTTTTATTCATTGTCATGACATGAACTGTTTCTTTCATTCATCCATCCCATGAGATAGGTTACATTACAAAATCCCACAATAGAGCACGTGTAACCTCTGCAAGAGTTTCCCAGGTGAACAGCTGCTGAAGAGAAAGCACGTCTTCACCTTTACCGAGTGTCCCTGAGCTACCCTCCCGTGTTTCCTCCTTGTCTCCAGCAGACTTACTCATTTTCACCTGCTGGGGTTATTATTTTTCCCTTCGTGCCCACAAGTCCGAAGGTTTTTTTAAATGACTTTACAAAAAGAATAAATTATTTTAATCATTACCTGGGTGTCCAAATGAGCTGCTCTCTAGTCTCTCTCATGGAAGTCTTCTATGAGAGCGTGTGCAGACTCTTTTGCTCAGATATCACGCAATACAATCTTTCATCATGTGTCTTTTGTTTCCGTGTCAATCAGATAGTGTTCCAATTTTTAAAAAGCATTAGTTTGGGAATTACATAAACCTTCAGACTGAAAGTAACTAAAACGAGTGAGATTACATGTGTGTGTTAATATTACCCAAAAACGTAGAAATAAAAGAATTCAAGGCAGGGCTAGAAATCAGTTGCTTTCTCTCTTCTTTCACTCAGGACACCTGCGCATAGTTACTGCATCTTTCTGGGAGTCAACCTTCTTCCACTGAAGACTGGCTAACGGTCTCCATATTCGGTTGTAAATGTTCTGAAGAAAGAGAGGATAATTAATTGCTCTAGAGAATTCCCTCTGCCTTTGTTGCTCTGTTGGGCAGAGAACATCATTGCCAACCCTCTCAAGAGGGACACTGACCACCCTATGTGCAGGCCATTTTAGAACATGGATCTAAAGAGCTGCCCACTGAACTCTCTGTGTTCAGTGGGCAGCTCTGAACACAGAGAGATTCTGAGTACTTTAGAAGCCATTTTACCCTGTTTCCTCCCCAAACGGCAGCACGGAGGCCTCCCCTGACCAGACATGGGGCAAGCAGACTGTACCATTTGCTTGTCCTACATGATGATCACACAATTCTCTGAAGACAGGTAGAAAACTAAGAGGCATTCATCTGCTTTTGAATTTCCTATTAGAAGAACAAGAGGAAGTTATTATTCCATAAATTAAAGACCTGTTTCCTGTGGAGAAAATGGTTTGACAGTAATTCAACTGAAATTTGGTTAAACAAATAGCATGTTTATTTACTGAATGATTCTCCAAACCACAGGTTTATTCGTGGGAGGGAAAGCTGCCCTGTCTGAGTCACAGAATTCTCTGTCAGTATTTTGCTATTTTTCACCCACTTCTTTTTCTCAACTGGAATGTGAAGCATTCTCCTTTAACAGAGCTATACAAAATTTAATTAACAAATTGATATACCATGTTCCTTGTCCCATCCACTTAAGAGTGGGCAGGGAGTAATGTGTGACGGTACATTTAAAAAGAATTTAAGCCGAAACCCATTTGGCTCAGTGGATAGAGCGTGAGCCTACAGACTGAAGGATCCCAGGTTCGATTCTGGTCAAGGGCATGTACTTTGGTTGCGGGCACATCCCCTGTAGGGGGTGTGCAAGAGGCAGCTGATCAATGATTCTCTCTCATCAATGTTTCTAACTCTCTATCCCTCTCTCTTCCTCTCTGTAAAAAATCGATAAAATATATTTTAAAAAATAATAAATAAATAAATAAATAAATAAATAAATAAATAAATAAAATTTAAGTTATCCAAGGGACTAAACCGCAGCAAAAAACAAACATCCACTCGCTGAATGCTTGCTTCTTATACCGACAACTTCACCAATATTTAAGAAGTTTAATGATAAACTTCTGGCGTAATAAATAGTACTATGGGGAACTAGAGGCTTGGGGAAATCCCTTGTAAACCCCTTTCTTTGAGGAAAAGATTGCCTTTCATAAGAGTTACATCATTCAAGCACAGAGATAGTTTTTCTAGATAAGCAGAAGTACCTGAAAACAGATCTGGGTAAAATGGCTTCTAAAGTAATCAGAATATTAAAAATAGTTTCATTTTTTTAAAAATCATGCTGTTGTCTGGTAGAAATAGATATGCAATCAGTGATTATTATAGTTACAGTGAAACTTGATTTCGAAGGCTAAATGCTAATCACTTGTATAATTTAACTGCAAAATAAGCATATGCTTTTAAAATTATACAACTCTGGTCATTTCCTGTACAAAAAATAATGTCAGTGGCAAGGCTGATTTCTTTCTTAATAGACATATTAAAAAGAGAAGTGTGTATGCATTTGCTGGAGCTTAATTTTTGTCAGTGTTGGGGAAAAGTGCACTTTAGTAAGAACTTCATTTTCATTCGTGAATATGTTCTCTATTGTGCAGCTGCTTTCAAATTTAATGCTCTGGAATGTTAGTCTTTATTAAGTGTATTCAATGCTATTTTCAATTAGAGTGCAATTTAGTTGTGTCATTCCTTACCTTTATAATAATTACATAAGAATATTTTCATTAATATTAAGATGAATATGTATCAGCCAATGCAATTATCTACTATTTTATATACATGAATGAGCAGCCTGTAGAATTCACATTGACACACAAGAATACTTATAATAGTAAAATACCTGGCTAGATTAGACCACCTCAAATACGTTGGGAGAAATGATAAAGTAATTCTATCCATGCAGGAAATATTACTTATGAAATTCTCTTTACTTTTAGAAATTAATAAAACAGAGTTTTAAAACATATTTTTTGATATTTCCTTTTTTTTACTTTAATTTATTGGGGTGACATTGGTTAATAAAATTATACAAGTTTCAGATAGACATTCTATAATACATTATCTGTATATTATATCATGTTTTTACTGATTTATTTGAAATTTCAGTTATTGAATGTAAGTAGTTAGGAGTTAGGAGTGCAGGCTCTGAAGTCAGACATGTCCATACACACAACTTTTTGTCACCATCTTAACAGATTATTTCCTGCTCAAGATCTAGAAACTGATTTTGTTTCAATATCCATCTCTGTGTGATGCTGACCAATTGCATAAAAGTATCCTATTCATTGCAACGCAGTTCTAGTGACTCCATCCAATGGCTACTTATAACTAAGAGTAAACAAATGAGAGGTTTTTAACAATCAGGTATTGTTATTTTTCCTTTTTGAAAAAGTGACTGGATTTATTCTGGGTTCACATAAAAGAGGCAAGTCCAGTACATAAATCAATGTTAAAAGAGGGCTTATGAAAAAAAAAAGCATAATTTTTAAGAGAAACACAAGAAAAGGACACTCTTGTTCTGTCACATATCTGCATATAACAGTCTAGAAGAGTACTGGCTGTCCACCTACTGCTGTGAAGTCCTGGCTGCCAGTCTGAGGGTAAGAGAGCAAGATCACAGAAGAAATCTGGGTCTTTAATACCACAATTGTGTTGTTGACTTAATCATATTCTCTTATTTGGAGTCAACTTCTTTGCTTTTTTAATCCTCAGCTGAGGATCGGTTTTTATTGATTTTATATAGAGAGAGACATCAATGTGAGAGAGAAACATCAATCGGTTGTCTCCCATATGCATGACTGGAGATGGAACCCACAACCTAAGTATATGCCCTGACTAGGAATCAAACCAGCAACCTTGTGGTGTATGGACAACACTCCAAGCAACCAAGCCAC